GATAAATTAATGTAGTTTCATGTTACAATTTGAAGTCAATCTAGAAGAAAAAATGGGTAATTTAGATTTATTTCGAATTTTTTTGGTGGTTAGGAGGTTGGTCGAATTGACCATTTCTGTTTGGAGATAGGATAGAGAAAATAACAGATAAACTATAAAGTTTTAATGGAAAAAAAAATGTTTGAAATGCATTTATGAGGTTTTAGGGATTACACAAAGGAAATTTGAGATGCAAAAAAAATTTTTTTTATTGCAACATGAAAATTACTTTGGACGTGGACTATTGAAAACAAATACTCAATATATTCATGGAAAAAAATCTTTATTTTATTTTATTAAAAATACTTCACTAAAATATGATTTATTGTATATGAAAGATTTATAATATTGATTGAAAGACTTCCAAATTTTGTGAAGATATACACACTGTATTGAAAGTTATAAGTATTAAATCTAAATCTATAAGGACTTTAAACGAGTACAAAGAGGTCACGTGGTTAGTCAAATTGACTGAGCCCATGTTGAGAGAGTAAATAAAATACAAAATATAGTGTTCTGTACTCACCAAAAAGTAGTAGTTACTTTGCTTGTTGAGGTGACTGGAAGAATGGGATGCTGCTTGAAATTTCATCCCTGGCAGTCTGCTCACTTTGAATTACATAATAGTGAAAAATAGCTTAATAACTAAAGGTATTTTAATAATATAACAAAGAAAAATAGTTTTTAGCTGTTTGAATTTTGTAATAGTAAAATTGTTATGGAACAGGCAAGATTTTCTTTTGATTTTTACATACATTTTTGTTATAGGAGAAAATGAGAATGCAAATGGAAATTATGCCAATAAAAGTTAATTCTGTTCTATGAAAAAAACTTAAATAGAACATTTGTAAATCGAGAGATACCTGTATTTGATGGTTTAATGATGAAAGTCTTCTGGATATTTCTCAAAAATCCTGAAAACCTCTGGTTTTCTTCCGGAGAAACACATTTTTTAAAATTATTTATCGGATTTTG